CTAGTTTTACATGTATATCTGTGATATTCTAGTTGTTTTACTGTCCTTCGTCGGCAGGTTTTTATAATATCTGTATATATATTCCATTTAAATGTCAAATGTTCTCGTCACGATATGGCTGAAATATTGCCGATGTGACGTTAAATATTAACTCACTCACTCATAACAACATTTTTATAAAATATGTAACCTGCGAAGAACCGGGTTAGAAATCTGGATGTATGTCACCGTATCTGAATTGGGCTGATCGATGTTCATGCTGTTGCTTAGTGCAGCATTTAAGAACAAAATGCATAAATGTAAAATAGCACATGTTCCCACTAACATAACTCAACCAGTTCGGGTAATGCGCCATCTCGATCTTGCAACAGAAAAATCACGATAGGGATCTACACGAAAGTGCACGCGAGGTGCACCTGATACAATATACTGTGTTTCAAAACTACGAGCAGAGATGAGGTACCGCCAAACCAATGTTAGATTCGAACCCAGTAGCTCTCTAGTACCACGCCACAACCCTCTCTACCACGGAACCACCCCTGCCACACCTTTAGAACTGCAACCTGCAATGCGTTCCCGAGTAGAACGTTGGTCGCCATATCAAAAGGTTGGACCTGACAAATGATGATACACAGATGTCTACAATTAACAAATGTCTGTACCTTTCACATCTCTATGATCAACGGATGTCTGTAGTTTTCAGATTTCAATGATTAAAATATTTTTGTGATTCACCGATCTATACGATTTGAAGATGTCTGTTAATTTCAGACAATTTCGATTAAATATCCCTATAATGAAGGTGCTATGTTTCTAACGTAGGTGCAATCTTACCAAAAAAAGTCCATGCTCTTTTATTAAATGAATACACATATACGCTTTCAAGTGGCGTAAGTGCATTAACAACATGCATTCTAGAAAGTTTTCGTAACATGATGTGTTGAGATTTCTGGAAAGGAAGTGTTTGTGAGTTGCCTGATGCCAAAGAACAGACAACCTTATTAGTGTGTGCTGTTGCACTCAACCAGCCAGTTCGACTGCGCTTTTGAAAGCTGTGTTGTCTAGTGCAAGCAATATATTCTTGATGCAACTTTGAAGTGTTCTTTTGTAAGACATAGTGTATCCGTCTCATGTCTGTCGCAATGCGACATGCACTGAAATCATAGTTCAGGACCCGTTTCTGCCAGCAAAGACGTGAACGTTATGTTGTTATAGCTACTCTCATTCCTAGTAGTATCTGGAACCAGTGAGTCCGTGAGCAATATCACGGTGGGGGGACACCAAACATGGACTTCAAACATTGTACACATATTGGGAATCGAACACTCAGGCCTTCGGTATGACGAGCTTTACCCACTGGGCTACCTCACCGCCCAGTTGAAAAATCAAGGGGCGATACTTAAGTGTTATTTGTTGTTTAACGCCGCACTCAGCAATATCCGAGCTATATAAGACAAGCCAGTGATTAACATCATGTGCATCGTTCTACGTATCCCACCCGATCCCGTTAATTGCGTTTTCAGAAAAGCATGGGTTGCTGAAGATCAATTCTAACCAGTCTGTGAAAAGATATTAAGAGATAAACAGAATCAACCAAAGCAACATAAAAGTATTATACAGTGGAAGTGTAGAGGTTTCATGGCTGATTTTAATTAGCTGGGACTTCTTCGACAAAACTTTGTTAACGTAGCTTTTTGTCTTCAGGAAACATTACTGAATGAAACTGAATATGTAGATTTTCGTAGGTACATTTTATCATAGATGTTAATCAAACACGGGGAAGACGTCAGGTGGTATGTCCAAAATGATTAGGCAAAATATACTTCATAGTCCAGAGCAACTGAAAACTGATCTTCAACCTGTTGCACTGTGAATAACATTACTGGTTGCAATCACACTATGCTCGTTATATATACCACCTTCCACTTCTCGTAAAATTTGATTGAACAGCATCCAAGACATTTAATAATTATAGGCGATTTGAATGTATATAGTCCTCTTTGGGGCAGCTCAGATTTGAACGACAGAGGTAACATAATAGAACAGGTTCTTATATATCAACAACGGTGTACGTATTTATATGATGATTCCATTACATACCTACATCCAGCTATGGTGACATATTTGGTTCTCAGTCTTACAATTGTAGATCCTTCGTTTTTTTAATTATTTGAAATTGACAGTATTTAATGATCTTTCCAACGATTTTCAAAATCATTACACTCAATGAGGAAATGGCCAATTTCTCGATAGAATGTCAACAAAACGAACTGGAGCTACGGTTCAATAGCTATCTATGGTTCTGTAAAACAAAGGGAAAAACAATTTAATGCAAACACTTAACCTACACATAAACAACCTTAAGATTTTCAGAGCTAAGCCTCGTAGAAATATGAAAGGGACATGACGTTCTTCGTCACGTTCATTTGCTACTAAATACTCCAAAACCTCTGGTCCAGAAAATCACGGGGCCTTGACAAATCCCATGAAACTGCAATTGGACCTGATGAGATCCATTATTTGTTGTTGAAGCATCTACCTAAGGAATCAGTATTAACACTTCTTAGTATACTGAACAATATATGGGAGCATGGTACATTCCCAGATTCCCGACACACGGAAATTCCAAAACCAAATCCACACATTCATCTACAGCTTAATTGCCTTGAATAGCTTCGTCTGTAAAACGATGGAACGAGCGACTAACAAAAGACTTGTTTGGCATCTTAAATCTAATTTAATTTATTGACAGATATGCTGTGTGGTTAGTAGTACAATTGATCATGTCGTAAGGCATTAGTTTGTAATGCGTTCATAAACTAACAAGGTGCAGTTTCTATATTCGTTGATTTAGAGAATGCCAATGACACCAAATGGAAAATGACCTTCGCACCATGGGATTCTGTTGGCGCACCCTTGAATTTTTTTCGCGATTTCTTGACAATAGATAGTTCATAGTTATGAACTACTCTATCAGATATGTTTGATCACGAATTGGGTGTACCCCAATGAAGTGTTCTGCGGGTTATCTTGTTTAGCATTAAGATTATTAGTCTTACTAAGTATTGAATGACAATGTTGATGGTTCTTTGATTGTTGATTTTAATATGCCAGTTCGTGAAACTGACATGAACATTTCTGAGAAACAGCTCCAGCTAATGTTGAGGCTAAGGAACCTTGTCTCCAGTTAAGAAGGGTAAAGCTTGCTCACTAAACTCAAGTTCTTTATTTCTAATTCAGCCTTTCACCGTGCTTTTAAACATCCATATCGGGATCTGGATCTAAAGAAATCTAATGCAATATCGCCACCTTGCAGTCGCATGAAACCTAATATAGACGATGCTACATGTAACTTAAATCTCCCTCGGATAACGAAATGTTCATATACCTGCATGGCAATGTATACAGCCCGTCGCCAGTCTCGACTTGACAATGCTAAAAAGGATAAATAAAAAACTCTTTGCAGATTTTAATAACAACTACCCCTCTTACACCTGTTTTTCCACCGATGGGTCAAAGGAACGTGGCAGAGTATCAGCTGATGATGATCCGTGAGCAATATAGTCGCACGTTCAATTGTCACTTCTTTAAACAGTACTTACAATGCTGCTAATCTACACTGCTGACTATCTGAATCTTGAGATTACCTCGCAGCTTTGAAAGACTTGAGAATGCAGAAATAACTAAAATTATCTTACAGTTTTCTGAAAGAACGTGTATTTTACACAATGTTTATCAAGTAGACTTGGCAACCAAGACGAGCGTATATGGCTACTGACGGATTATTGGCTTCGGGTGGAACATGCATGCAGTCTTAATGCTTAACACACAATGCTGATTAGCTAACAACTTAGAATTGAACACTAACTGAGACACACTTTTAGCATTTACGTTTTTGAGTAAAATCCTCAAAACATGTTGTTTAGTCCTATGTTATAAGATTACATAAGATAGATGAAAATATGTCCTATTTTAGAAAACTATGATAAAGGGAAACAGTGAGTGAGTGAGTTTAGTTTTACGCCGCTTTTAGCAATATTCCAGCAATATCACGTCGGGGGACACCACAAATGGGCTTCACACGTTGTACCCATATTGGGAATCGAACCCAGGTCTTCGGCGTGACGAGCGAACGCTTTGACCACTAGGGTAACCCACCGCCCCCGATAAAAGTAAACAGGAACTTACACTAGGGTCGCTTATACTGATTGCCAGGGAGGCAATATGTTGGTCAATGTTGGCAGTCACACCAGGACACACAAACCACAAACAATCTGCATGATATGCAACCGACCATAAGTGGTAACCATATCAGTGCCAACTGTCGTGGACGTGATGTTGTTATACGACCCTGTCGTTGACGACATTCACATTTAAGGGTTTTGTCACTTTTTTGGAGATGTCTCTGCCCCTTCATTGTCAAATCTGCCTCCCCCCCAACCCCCAACCCCCCATGTAACCTTCCTGTCTATGGACATTTTACAGCTGAATGAAAGTAAGAATGACATGGGACTACAGAAACTTGAAGTGACGAGATAATAATCGAAGTAAAGAGAAAACAATCGAAACTTAAAAAAAACCCAAAAAACAAAATCAAACATTTGAAGCAAAGAGAAATAACTGTTAAAACATCATGTCGGGGTGGGGAAAAATGAGGTCAAGGGCAAATATAAGCTCCACTTGAAGTCAACGCATATTTGTAAATTCCATTATCAGAAAAGACTTTGAAAACGATGTATTCAGACCTGTGTGTGTGATTCTAAGTGGTGAAAATGTGCATGAGTCCAGTTAGGAGTGAGATGTATCAGAAATCCTTTCATGAGTAATAAAAGAGTGAGTCTCACGCAAAATGTGTGGTAACTGGTAACTATCGCGCCTACCAGAGCACCAGTGTCTTGCGAGGATTAAAGATGTAAAAAATTGAGATGACCCCCGACTCGAAATGCTTCACATATCATTAAATCATGAAAAGGAAGTGGGATGACATCTCTAAAAAAAAATTAATCACTGATCCTTTCAAAGGCACGAGCGCCTGTGTACCAGTTCTGTGGAAATAAACCTTTATCGTCAAAAGAGCACTTGCTGTATGCGGAATTGCTAGTCATACAATATAGGCCTTTGTCTGTTCCCCTCATCATGGATGCGATACGGCCAAGTCCGCTGTCTGTCATAAAGAATACATCACATGATGACATCGTCTGTTGATCAAGAATCACTTTACCAAAACCGGCGCATGCGTAATCTTTTCCATGATTGTCACGATCAACATGAACGATATCCCCCTCCAAATCTTGGATGACACTAGGAAACAACCTCTTCGCATCCTGTCGCACTTTCTGAGAGTCTGTGGCTACGAACATTCGATAGAGGGCGCTGTTATTATATTGACTAAGGAAGTTCCACACTACACTAACATTCAAGGGTGTGGGTCTATAACCATCGCCTGGAATAGTAGGATTGTTCATCACTCGAACATGTGCACACACGAGTTTTCTCCCTTTGTCACGGGCTGATATTTGGAAATGATCAAACCTTTCTTGAATTTCAGGTCTCATTCTAAACAACCGTCGTAAAACAATATTGTATATGTCAGTTGTTGTCTGATTATATGCCCACCGAAGAGTCTTAAAAAGCGGATGCAGCTTTAGATAGTTAACCATTTCCTGGTTCACAGTAAAATATGTGACGTCTGAAGGAAATTCCTTTTCTAAATCAAGAGATTTTGCAATTTTCTCACGTAGCTTAAATGCTTCATGGTCAAGTCGCTTGTACCTGCTACTTTTCAGGCCATTTATTTCAGAAGGTTGAAGACTCCAGTCAACTTTGTTCGACTGGAGGAAATTCCCGATATCACATGGTACCAGCATGTTGACTTTGAACTTCCGACTTAGTATTTGTGAAAGGATATAAGCACCTACAATTCCTTCTTCTCTGTCCCCTAGACCACCACAGTTACCATGGGAACAGTCGTAGATGAAATATTTATTTTCCCACCGGGGCTTAACGAAATATTCCTCAGGAATGGTTGGCATTTCTGAGTCACTGTGAGTGTATTCAGGCGAAGCTTTGCCTTTATGTCTCAGGCCGTGAAATACATTCTCATTTATAAGACCCTTGACTCCTGTATTCGAGTAGACGAGTGCAGTCAGAACCAAGGCGCAAATGAATAATGTAAAACTTCGCCAGTGGCGTCGAGGGCCGAGCATCGTTGTGGATTGAGCTGTTGTCCCTGAAAAGAAGTAGAAGTTCGAGTTAATTAATTTTGTTCGTTTTGGGGTTTTGTTTTGTTCTGCTTTGTTTGTTTGATTTGTTGTTTTGTTGTTTTGTTGTTGTTCGGCTTTTGTTTTGGTTTTTGTGTTTAGTTTTGTTTTCTTTTTTTGCTGGGGACAGTTTCATGACATGAATAGATCGATTATGAGTGATTATTGTTCAATGCTCCATCAGGACCATCACCACTCACATTAAGCTATTCGAGGCTGATGACGGGTGCCCTGTTATCGTGCAAACTGTTCTCTGTATTTGTGAAATGGTACGCAAACTGTTCTCTGTATTTGTGAAATATCGCACATCTAAATGGTTTACTCTCAGCTAGATCAAAAATGGTTCAATAGATCTCAATATCTGTCGTGTGTAACGAGGCGGTAAATTGACATTTCTATAGCCAATTAAGCTATAGTGCGTATGAGATTTCGGGTCCCCGGTAAGGCAGAACTCTGACCCTCGCATAAGGAAATAAATTTAACTAAAACTAAAAGTGAGACATATGCACAACGTTTTATTCTAAAATATACATGTATAAAAAATAAATGTACTGTAATATTAACCAAAAAAATTATGATAAAAAAAGGTCATTTTGATCATCTAAATCCTTCATCAATTATGGTCAGTTGTTTTTGTAAAGTTTGCACTGTAATCTGATCAACAGGCATTCATGATACTGAAGAACTGGTTCATTTTATGGAATGTGGAAAGGCTAGTATCATAATGCCTGACTTCAACACGTGTGTGCATATGCTAGTGAGATCTCCAATTATCTATGGGGAAGTGAAAACAAGAAAAGGACTGGAGGTATCTGTGCAAGGGTTTTAATAGATAGATACATCTCCAGACCTCCGGATAAGCTCATACTCAAGAGATTGATTGGACTGGATGCGAAACATCTCACTAAAAGTCTTCGGTTTATAACACCCCAATAAGCCCGAGGAGAGTAATAACTTATTGCATGGCGTGAATGACAACATTTAAGCAACTGCTAAATGGCTCAAAATCTGACTGAAGCCCTTTTCTGCTTCTCACATTTGCCTGTTGAATTGGCAATGGGTTGAAGGGAAGTCATTGGGCTGATGAGGTGATAGAAATGGCCGCTTGCATAACAATGTTTTGCTTCGCCAACTAGACTGAAACTTACTGAGGTCATATCAGCCTTGTTGGTGGTGGCTGAAGCATATTGTATATAAACCCACGAGAACCCGGTATTTCGCCTTGTAGAAAAGTCTGTGATCCTCTTATTTTGGTACTTGCAATATGAACATATGAAAACTGCTCAAACACATTCCCTTGATATACGGAATGATAAACACAGATAGTTTTTTTAGGCACAAAGTCATTTAAAAATTGAAACTTAGAGTCAGTGAGTTAATTTAAGTCACGTCGGCATTATATCAGCCAAATAACGACTTTAAGAAGTTATACAGTAAGACATGTTTAAAACTAGCATGTAACCAAAAAATAAATAATCATATTAAACAATACAATATAAAAACTGGCTATAAATCGCCATCAACTGAAGGTAGATCACCATGCCAGGGACCATGGGGACTTGCAGTACCTTTGCTTCCTGCATGGACCCTAGCTGGATATACACCATCCCTTCAGCCGTTGGCGATTAAACTCCAATTTAGCCAAACATAAAAGAACACATATTCTGCGATTAAAACGCGGAAGATGACAAATACGTCTGATGAAAGTAGACTTACATACTCTCTCAGAGGGACAATCATATTACACTAGTTCAACCTCCTTTGAGAGTACAGCAGCTACCAATCAAAGCTATTTGTTCATTCGACTTATTAATTACATTACACAATCGCAATCCAATTTAAAAATCCAATTATCAAACGACAACTGGTATTAGTGTAAAGATCCTTCATAGATGCTCATTTGAAATATTGATCCCTTGTGATGGAAAAATCAGTACAGTTAAGCAGGACATGCTTGATTGTGATTCTTTCATCACAAGGGATACAGAATGGAGGATCTTCACCTTTAATAAATATGCATGTGTATATCTCGAATAATCAATACAACATTGTTGTGTAACGACCTCATCAAATCTGGACTGACAATCCAAGTAGATGTCACCAACAGTTGTTTTTTTCCATGTAATTTATTTATATCTACTTGGGTGTCCCACTTCTTTTGCCTTAGATCGTGAATGTAAGTTCTGATCATAGGTTTATATTCACTATAAGGTATCAGAAGTGGTGTCACAGATTTGTTGAGTGCTGCCTTAGCAGCAGAATCGGCCTTTGTGTTACCAGTGATTCCAACATGACCAGGTAAGCTAAAAAAAGACGATGTCATATTGGCCAGTAGCAAGATAATTCTATAATTCAATTATGTCAATTAAAAGTGGATGTTTATTTGAGATGTTTTAATAGCCTGAAGGCACAAAAGGGAATCTGAAATGGGAATCAACTGTTTATATTTAGACTGTTTTTGGATATATATTTAAGAGCTGACAATATGGCATAAGCAAATGGTCTAAACAATGGAGCCGTCATAAGGAAATCTGGAAGATAATGAATCGGATATGTTCTGAAGGCTCCAAGACAAAGCTTCAGGCCTTGATGATGAATAAAATCGAACACTTTCAAATTGCTTTACAGTAACTGATGGAGCTTTCATCACGTTTGGAGCGGGTGAGTGCTCTGTATAGTTGGAGGAGAATTTTCTGATCAACTACCCATCCTCGAGTTTGAAACAACTTTTTATTATATCAAGTTCCTTCAGGCTTTTATTCATCAGATGTGTGACCAAGAGGTTAAATGCTGATCGAGTATAAGTTGGGACAATATGCTGATGATACTCAACTTTTCCTAGACGGATCTGAGCTTAGTCTTAAAGCCTCTGTGGATACATTAACACCATTTTACTAAATGTCTGGTTTAGAAATTAATATCGAAAAAACAAAGGCAGTTTGGATAGGTGAATTGGCTGGCAGCAATATCAGACTATTTCCACAATTAACTTTAGACTGGTATGACGGCAACTTTGAAGTACTGGGTTTAACCTTCAATGCTAGGCTAGAAAACCCCTGGATCATCAACAGAAAGAAAGAAAATGCAGACAATTCGGAATCTAATAGGAAATTGGAAAAAAAGGCATTTAACAATAATTGGCAAAATAACTGTTGTAAAAACCTCAGCTCTCTCTACTTTGGTACATGTACACTCGGCTTTACCGTACCCTCCCAAATCATTTATTATGGAAATAGAGAGAATCTGTTTCAGTTTCATTTGGAATGATAAACCAGATAAGATTAAAAGGGAGTAATTGAAGAGGGACTACAGTGAAGGTGGCTTAAGAATGACTGATGTTAAAACCTTTATAGACTCTCTAATGATTGCAACTATTAAAAGAAGCTATCGTAAAATAACCTTTACTAACCCAAGAAACGTACTTGTTCAAGATTGAATTACCCTTGGAGCAAATATTGACAGTTTCTCAACTGTTGTAAATCCATTTTGGAAAGATGCTTTCACTGCTTGGAAAAGGTACAGATCAAATTTCACCACTGATCAGAACAATTCAGATAATATCTTAGCTAAACCACTGTGGCTGAATCATCAATTTAAACAGTCCAAGTTTATAACACGAAACTGGTATACAAACGGTGTCCATTTTATAAAAGACCCCTGTAACTCAAATGGACTGCTCTCCTTTGGAGAATTTAAAAGTAGTTATGAAGTGAGAGCTTCATTCCTTGATTTCTTACAAGTTATTCACAATATTCCGAAATCCTGGAGAGATACAATAAATAATACGAACCATAACCATGCAAATTTGTCTTTACATACATCTGCTCTTAGTTTGATCCATCCTGTGAAAGGTTGTCGAACGTTCTACGTCAGAGATTCATTTGCCTAAGCCCTGTTCTAAATTGGAAAATGATATTAACATAGATATCCCTTGGAAAAAATATTTTCACAATCTACAGAAAATGTACCAAGGACACAAAGCTTCTGGATTTCGTTTCGTTTTCTATCCCTTGTGATGAGAGAACCACGGTCAAGCATGTCCTGCTTGACTGTGTTGAATTCTCCATCATGAGGGATAAATATTTCAATATCAAAACAGTAAAGGACCTTGTTTAATAATGTTATCAATAATTATCATTTAATCATTGATTTTTTTAAAGATATAGATTTGGTAAATGAAATTTGATATATGTTTTGCAAATAGAGAAAGTTTTATAATATTGGTAGTTTAGATTATAAACTTAGATTGTTTGTGGCTGTATCCTCAAAGAGGGTTGAAGCTGTGTAAAATTATTGTCCTCCTGAGAGGATGCGTAAGCCCCAAAACTTTCCAAGTCAATTTCGCTCAACCATACATTTTAATTGTAGTATTTTTTGTGATTTTAATTTTGGCTAAATCTTCCTACCATCGCCAGCGGCTGAAGGGATGGTGTAAATCCAGCTAGGGTCCATACAGGTCGCAAAAGTAATGTAAGTCCCAATGGTTCCTAGTATGGTGATCTACCTTCAGTTGTTGGCGACCTATAGCCCGTGTTTTATATTGTATTGTCTTCTTAAATTAAAATCTTTTAGTTTTACATGATAGTTTTATGTTCACAGCTGTGATACTCTAGTGTTTTTACTGTCCATCGTCGACAGGTTTTACTCTCCAAAATGTTTTCTTTTTAATTGTATAAATTGTTTTCGTCACGATATGGCTGAGATATTGCCGATGTGACCTTAAATATTAACTCACAATTTGTAAGTCTGAACCTGAGAGTATAATCCATGTC